AAAAAGTTTAGTTATCTGCTGCCGGGCGCGGTGGCTCAAGCCTGTAATCCCAGCACTTTGGGAGGCTGAGGCAGGTGGATCTTGAGGTCAAGAGATCGAGACCATCCTGGTCAACATGGTGAAACCCCATCTCTACTAAAAATACAAAACATTAGCTGGGCATGGTGGCACGTGCCTGGAATCCCTGCTATTCAGGAGGTTGAGGCAGGAGAATTGCCTGAACCCAAGGAGGCAGAGGTTGTGGTGAGACGAGATCGCGCCATTGCACTCCAGCCTGGGTAACAAGAGGGAAACTCCGTCCCCCCGCCAAAAAAAAAAAAAAAAAAAAAGAGTTTAGTTATCTGACCTTTGCCTAACTTATCGTTATATTATTATGCTATAAACTCTTAATTAAAATACAACTTTATGCATGAAACTTTAATTACAGTCTACATAATGTGCAACTTCTTCAGTTTTTTCTGGAGTTCTTGATGCATTTTGGAAGGAAGGTGAACTTGGGTTAAGATGCTAAAGAGAGAAGAAATCTGTCTTAGAAATGGATGTAAAAAGCACTCTGCATTTCTTTGGGTATTTGGCGAAGAAAAGTGGTGTGTATGGATACATCAGGGCCAGTTGCCTGAGTTTGTAGTTCTATTTTCTGTGGCTGGTTGTAGGCAGAGAACAGTTGCCAACAGCAGAGTCGGATTCAGTACCATGGATAGCTCCACACGTTTAGCACCTGGGAGAGAAACTGTTGTCTCCCAATCTCAGCTGCCGCTAGCAAACAGTATGACAGAATGATCAACTTATATATATATATATATATATATATATATTTAGAAAAAAATAAAACCATACACTGGCAATGTATGGCTTTTTATATTCCCAAAGAGGCAGCTGTAAGGATTCAGGAAATCTCAAACTACTAGAAGAGCCTAGAGGTTGTCATAAGTAGCTTATTTTTAAAGTAAACCTTATTGGCCATAAAATTCAACATTCCTAGGAACATCTTCTGTTTGATTCATTTGCATTACTCTGATATGAAACAGGAGGAATTACTTTGGTTCTTGTTTTTGTTTAAATTGGGAGGGTTGGGTTTTGGAACATAATAGTTGTTATGCTTAATTCCTGGTTATTGCAATCCACCTGATTCACCTTCCTAAACTAACCCTGCTTCTCGGCCCCTCTCAGTCCCACACTCATTATTTCACTTCAGATTTTAAGCTGTAACTGAGAAAATTAGAACCCAGCTGACTCAAGGTACAGGCATAGCAGGCTAATGAGCTACAAGAACCATCCCACCCCCCTCAAATTCTATCATGCAACTGCATGTGTTGACAGGAATCTCTGGACCCTTATCTCCAGCAGGAAATGAGAGTTTCGTCTGTGTTCTGCTTGAGTAGACCGAAGTCGTAGCAAATTCCATTTAGAGAAAGGGGCGTGGAGAGGGGCTACCAGGTTAAGGGGGTGGGGGAAAAAACAAAAATAAAGGGAAAAAGAAGCAAGAAAAAACTAGAAAAACAACTTCGAAATCAGCTTTCCTGGCATGGATTGTCACATTTGTTTTCCTAAGTCTCCAGGAGGACTGTTTGAACAGAAGAGTCTGTATACCCTGAGATTCCCACGCTGGCAGCCTTTAAGAAGTGAGAAGGAAGAGGACTCTATTCTGCCATTTAATCCCTTTCCTATCCTATACGAGATGATTCTTTAGAGATGGTGGTGGAGAGCAGAATGTGGCTAGTGGGTTCCGGAGATGAGTGGCATCGGAGGTCGCAGCAAGGCTGGTAACTCTTAGCCCCACCCACCTTTTGTTCGTTCCCCCTGGCGCCCAGCCTCACCTATTTCAAACTCTTTCCTTGTTTTGTACTAGTCGCTCGCACTCTTTGTCCTTCTCGTCTTTGGCCGTCTTATCTTCCTCGCAGCCTACGGCACCTGGAGACCAAATCAACCCCCAACCTTGCAACCCTCCAGGGACTCAGGCAGAAACTGGGCATGCTCAGCGGCGCGGGCAGCTTTCAGTCTTTCCGAGGCGCGGCTCAGCGCTGGGCAGGGACCCGCGTGCCAATTCAGTTCGGGCTTCAGCAGCCACCTCCGCTGAACCCAGGGATCCGAGCTGCGCCCTGAGGCTAAATCTACACCCTTAGATGGTTCATTCTCAATCTTCAACCTGCTGAGCACCAACAGAGCTTACAAATAATCCTCATTAAGGAAATGTTTTCCCACCTGTCTTTTCCTTGCAGCTAAGGGTCGTTTAGCTACTGCGGCGTGAGGAGCTCAGCCCTGTGGCTGGTGGCTGTAGAGATCACCTTCCCCGAGTAGCTGTTTGTCACTGAGTTTTGGAGATTTCTTGGCTGGCTTCCGTTAAAGCATGCTTGAGTAATCTGAGCTGTGGCGGCGCCCAAGCTGTCGGGATAAAGGGAGCGTGTGTGTGTGTGTGTGTGTGTGTGTGTGTGTGTTAGGGGGAGAGGGCGGGGATAGAAACGTCAACTACCCCCCCACCCCCGACCCCCAGTCTCCTTTTCCCTCTCTCCTTCCTGCAAAAGCTGCACAAGTCTTCCATCCCCTCTCAGCCATCCTCACTGCTCTGGGCAACCGCCAGGTTAAGCCCATTTGCACTGAGAAATTGGCGCCGTTTGGGAGAAGAGAAACAGATCGATTGCCCTTGTGACTCCCCGCCCCCTTCCCACCCCACCCCCATCGCTCCCTCCCTCTTTCCCTCCCCCGCCACCTCCCCTCACCCCGCCTCCTTCCCGCTCCCCACCCCCAAACCCTCTCACCCGCTGCAGTCCGGTGCGAGGCCCCCTCCGGAAGGTGAGGGGAATGGATTGGACTCCGGTGGGGAAAGCGGGTGTCTAGAAGTGGTGCTAATGGGAAGAGAATTCTGGTTTCAAAAGAGGATGCTCCGCCACAAAGAGCGGCTCGCGCGCTGGCCTGGGCTCTAGCCGAGGAGAGATCCAGGGAGAACTCCAGAGCTCCGGGGGAGCGCTCCTCGGAAGACCGGGGCCAACATGCCTGTGCGCAGGGGGCATGTGGCACCACAAAATACATTTCTGGGGACCATCATTCGGAAATTTGAAGGGCAAAGTAAGTTCATTTGTTCTCTTCTCTCGCCCTCGCTTTCTGCTTTGATAGTGCACTTGGCGTCCGCCGCTTCCAAGCTGGGGAGACCGGCAACTCCAGGCTGTCAAGTTAAGAGGCTGTGAAACCGAGCCAGGAGGTTCGAATGGCAGCGGGAGTGTTCTCCTTCTGATATTAATTTTGATTTACATTTTAGATTACGGTCTCCATTATAGGAGGCAATTTGATCCTCCTCTACCACTGCTCCATTATCTGCCTTGCTACTTAATGTCCTACTATTCTACTATCTTAAAGGGAACGTGCTAGGATAACATGGGTTTATATTTTGAGGCTGTTTTACTGTAGACTTTCTGAAAGTCGGAAGCAAAGCAGACCACACAATTCAACAAGATAATGTAAATGGTAGTAGCGATGTAAATGGCTATGCAAACTATATTTTACCTTGGTTAAACTGCAAGACAGTGGTATGACAGGGATGCTTGCTTGCTATTAGTTTATAGAAGCTAAATTTTGTATTGAATCAATGCAAATATATCCTCAGCAGGATAATTTGGAAAAGCAGTATCTCAACTGTGGTGGTTCCCGATGCAAATAGCTCATTATTCAAAATAATATTCCTATTCTTTTTTTAATCCCCTTTAAAATTTCCATCTAGAAATTTAAAAATGAAGTGTAATAAGTAAATCCCACAAAGACTGAATGCACAGAAATTTAATGTTGTCATGTGAACTAACTACAGGGAATAAATTGTTGGTATACAAATATATTAATTTAAGATCCTGTATTTGTAAACTTATTTTCGTCCTTTTCTTAAAACTCTATTAATACATTTGTATGCCATGCATTTTGCGGTTATTTCAGCACTGCATTTAGAGATGTGAGGACCTGGTACCTCGCATACAAAATAAACTTGTATATCTTGCTTCACCATCTATCTGGAAATAGTAAATACAATCTGTGATCAAAATTAATAAGCTCTTTGTATTGAAATGCCTGCTACTACACATACACAAAAATCAAGGATCTCCCAAAGTAAAAGTAAAAGGTGTTATCATGATATTTACTGTGTGTATGTAAATATTTTTCTTTCGGAAAATATATAGTATGAAAAGGTGAACCTTTGCATTATTGAACTGACATTAAATGTGAAGTAGTTTCATTAGTAAAGCTAGTTGTCTTCGTTTTTAACATGATGTGTGTGACATGCCCAAGAGAGATAGAGAGGAGCCAAAGGATAATAACTACTTTAAGAAAGTTGTATTCAAAGGGCCAAGGTTGAAATGAGAGGTCTGACAACTACAGAATGTTTCACTGTTTGACTTTGAAAACATTTACCTTACAATTAAATAACATTCTGAAAATATCAATGGGCAGCTGCTTGTCTGAGTGTCCACTAAGATCCCCAGCAGTTGCAGGGCTTGAAAACTAGACTATTTGGGAAATTCTCTTCTTGCAGCTTGAAGAGTGGTTTCTTAATATTTTCTGTTAAAATCATTTAGGATAATTAATCTCACATTTAAATTTTGCAGGGTTTCTTGTGTTTCTTTTTATAAAGGCTGGGGCAATTAGTAATTTGGGTGCACCTGCATTTCAGACTTATTATGCAACAAATTGCTTCAGTGTTACAGAGAATATTGTGGAAGCTTTTTAAAAGATGCCATACTATTTTCCTATTACAGATAAAAAATTTATCATTGCAAATGCCAGAGTGCAGAACTGTGCCATCATCTATTGCAACGATGGGTTCTGTGAGATGACTGGTTTCTCCAGGCCAGATGTCATGCAAAAGCCATGCACCTGCGACTTTCTCCATGGCCCCGAGACCAAGAGGCATGATATTGCCCAAATTGCCCAGGCATTGCTGGGATCAGAAGAAAGGAAAGTGGAGGTCACCTACTATCACAAAAATGGTAAAATTTATCTATTTAGAATTCTTTCCATTTGATCCCATTGAAAATATATTTTGACTATTGGAAGTTCATATGCAGAGAATCCCAAAATGTTCAATTGCAGATATGTGCTTTGCTTGTAGTATTTGGGGATCCAACATATATGGGTACTCTGATGAGGGGTCTGGTAGAAACAATTTCTTCTTTGAATAAGGATACTGTGAATTGTTCAAAAGTGCAATAACATAATGTCACTAAGGTTAAAATGCTACAAATCAGTCTTAGATACTCCTCTTTTTACAGAATTATAGAAAGATCAACAATTTACTGCTTGTATTGGTATGCATTTGGTAGGTGAAAAATACAGTGTTATTTGTTTTAACTTTAAAATACTCCACAAAGCAAATTCATGTTGAAAACTATATCTAAAACTATTAGTTATGTCTCTTGGCTCTTTAGATTTAGTTGAAAGGCAATACCTCTTGTTTCTTTTGCTCCTTCTTATATAAGATTAAGGATAATAAATAGGAAGTTTTACATTGATCCAATTAACCTGTGCATATCAAATAATAAAGGCTGTTTATGTAGTCATAATTTGTTTTAAAATAAGAAATGTAGAAAAAAATTATGATACTGTGGAGTTATTAGTATTCATTTTATAACTACAGCAAAACTGGCACCTTCAACTTAAGGTCATACCTCAACTTCAAGGGCAACACCTCCTTCGGTCAAACTTGCTATGAGAGTAATAAGAGTTAGACATAACAGCTCTCTTAAAAAATTACACATGTAATATATAGGCATGTCTTAAATACTCAATATATATGTAAATGAACTCACATGTATAAATGCTCAGATATTCCCATTTTAAGGTATATATAGTCCCAAATATCTATATCTATATCTATATCTATAAAGATATTTGACAATTTAGGGCTTAAAGGTAAAATTATTTTTAAAACTTACATGTTATAGTTAACTTTGTTGATATTTTATCTTCACCTATTTCTTTTTATCCCACTAACAGAAATTAGTAAGGCAGAGTGGTAACTGTTCAGATTTTTAGAAAACTCTTAAGTTTTTTATAAATATGTAATGTGCCATAGCTTATATCATATAATGACTCATCATTTTGTAAACTACAGAGAAAAAAAGACAGCAGGGAAAATGTTTAACTCTTACTCTTATTTTCTTATAATTCAAAGTACAATGTACAATTCTTAATTACTACATTTCCTTAACATGAACTTCAGTGGTTACAAAACATTACTGGAAAAACAGGTTTGTATAACTTTGTAATAATCTGTAATAAAAGCAATTGTATAGTTATCAAACAGATAGAAATTGTTTTTAAAGTTCTTCCCACATTTCTCTTACTTTTCTATCAGTAGTGTCGGCATACTAGAAATAGCCTAATTGCTCTGTTGTCTTGAAAACATTTGTTGGATTGAGCTCTCACTACCCAAATGCAACTCATGTCTTTTGAGTATCTGATGCCAACAATCTGGATGTTTGTAATAATTTGAATGTCTGATATTTTTTCTTATTGAATATTTATTATGACGTCAACAGAGTCTATATTGTGGCAACTTGAGTGCATGTTGGTCCATATTTGGTCATTATGTTTTCTAGACCATTTCATGGTTTTTTACAACTCATAGAATTTAAGTATGACATTAATCTGGATTGCCCAAATTGCTCAGATTAGGTATATCTTTCAGAGTGTTTTCAAGTAGCAGTTATCTATTGTACCACAAGTGGTATGATGATGTTTTGAAAGTTGTGCAATGGGAGTGTGTAAAATGGTCTCAAAACACCTTAAAACAGCAATTTAATAGGAAGCACAAGCATGATTAATTCCTCTTAAATTGTTGAATCTTCTGTATTAAACATGTTAGTACATTGACAAATGCAAATCTTTTTGTTTGAATGATTTTCTTGGTTATATGAATTAAAACGCCTCTTTTTTCAGTAAAGGATTTTTGGTTTGGAAGCTTGTTTAGGTCTGAAAAATTAATATTTGGTAAAAATTTTGATTCTGTTGACTTCATTTTCAGATGTAACTCAATCTTCAAGGACTTGAGTATCTTTAGCATTAACAATAAAATCTACCCATTTTGCTTTAATTGATACGGAAAACATGAGATGATGGGCTAAGCATTTTCTTTTCTTCCAAATAAAAATATTAATTTGAATGACTTTTTTAGATAGTGAAGACACAATCATACTTATTTCCTTTGCATGTAATAAATTTGTGTTTTAGCTACCAGTTCAAATACCTTGAATAGAATTTTCACTGTGTCTTGGGATTATTTATATGACAACTGCAAAATCAGTTAGAGCTTATGAGGTAAAATTGTTGGATAGTCTTACCTCTTAGAGATATGACTACTGCCAGCTACGCTACATTTATAAAAGCAGGAAGGGTGAAAATCACCAACATTTTTGTTGATTTGTTTCTCAAAGCTTCCTTAATTCTTTGTTATTGATGCCACGACTTTTGAGAGTTTCTTGATTTCTTAACTGTATACAGTAAATCCTTCTTTGGCTTATTCTTTATTTAGCATTTCACAAGAATATGAAGAATGATGTAATAAGCCCAATGAACAAATCGACAGAACATTGATACATTCTGTTTCCATTTCTTCCATTTGCTCTTACCGGAGGAGTAAAAATATCACTGAGGCATTATTTTGGAAAGCTTGTTCACTAACATGGCCCAGAGGCTTTATAAGCAATTTAAACCCGTGATCTATGCAATGAATTCACATTGATGCAGTTCATGGTGAATGGCATGATTGTCATTTTGAAATAACACTTCCTACTATGCTCCTGTATGTGATTGTGCTAGGTACAATTAAACTCGCTGTTTATCAGAATATCAATTTTTAAAAACCTAGTTATTTGCGGTAGGAATATTTGACAGCTCTTCCTTTGAGGATTCTATTTTACAGTTTAAGTCATTATTGCATAAATCATCCTTGGCAGCTGTGAAATATTGCTTGAGGTGATAAAGCTGTAAATCTTTTGACATAAAACTCTAATTATACAAAACTATAATTATGCTTTGACTTATATAAGGATGGGTATGTATTTTAATAGCATAATAGATTCATTTAAAAATACCTTTTCAGCAACAAAGATTAAAAAATAGCAAACACTTGAGTTACTAACTAGTTTGTAGTTTGTAGATGATACAAATAGAAAGGAAACAAACAAAAAAAATAGCCCCCACAACTAAGTTTATCCTTCATCTTGTTTGGACTATGTCACAGAATAGAGCTAGCTAGTTTAAGTGCTAAACCCCTTCAGGCATATTTAGAAATGTGACTTTGACCTTAAATTATCAAGCAACTTTAAACATTTGAAAAATCAAAGTAAATTTCTCCAGGAGAAATAAAGGTCTTTACCAGTAGGAAAGTAGGACTTAAAATGTATTATTTTCTGAGGTCAGAGCATTCTTCTTGTATGTTTGTCATTATGCTTCCATACACACCACAGTATAATTTTGCTAACAAATCAGAAATATACAGTGCTACTTTCCTTATCTTCATGCTGCTTTTAAAGAACTGAAGAATGATAAGGGGCTGAGGGAAGTCCTGCCTAATCCAGTCAGATATCAGTACAAAGTTTCAGAGGTAGAGTTTGATTAACTAAACTCAGAAGAGGTCTTGCTTTGGTAGTACTGAACTTACTATATCTGAGAATTATGTGGAATTATCTTCTAGAAGCAGCCTTGCTTTTGTGAATCAAGGTGAAGATGTAGATTCAGCGACTCCTCTCTCATGTAATGTACCAGGCACTATAAGAACAGTAGGTGCTGGGTGCGGTGGCTCACACCTATAATCCCAGCACTTTAGGAGGCCAAGGCGGGTGGATCATGAGGTCAAGAGATTGAGACCATCTTGGTCAACATGGTGAAACCCTGTCTCTACTAAAAATGCAAAAATTAGCTGGGCATAGTGGCACATGCCTGTAGTCCCAGCTACTTGGGAGGCTGAGGCAGGAGAATTGCTTGAACCCAGGAGGCGGAGGTTGCGGTGAGCCGAGATAGGGCCATTGCACTCCAGCCTGGGCAACAAGAGTGAAACTCCGTATCAAGAAAAAAAAAAAAAAAAAAAAAAGAACAGTAGGAAGATATACAAAGGATGATTTCACCTGATCTCTGTAGGACATTTGTATTACAGAGTGACTAATATTCATTTTTATCTTCTACATAGCAGCTGTTTTTATAAAATTATTTTTAAAGGAAAAACAGTATTTGGAGTATGAGGTTGTTAAATGCATAGAGAGCCTACAAAATTTAGTATTAATTGCTGTTTTCCTTCTATTCCCCAAATTTAAAACAAATGTGCTTATGTATATCTTTTTTCACCTTTGTCATGTATACGTAATAATATATTAAAGAAGCAATGAAGTTTAAAGTTTATTAGCACAAACAGAAATTTCAAAAAATTTCATAATAGCTTTATATAAGTTATATGGCATATAAAACATTCAGCTCTCTTAATTCTTGGATTGTGTAGAAGAGATACAGATGGTAGTTTTTTAGACAAGAACAAAAATATATTTTATGTGTGTGTAATTCAAGCAATGAGAAAGATTTTCAGAGAGTATCTTGCCTAGAGTTTGCTTGGGTGTTCATTTTAACTTTCTGTTTATAATTTTTTATGTTCTATTCAATAGACTATTGCGACAACAGTAATCCTAAAATTCATTTATTTTATGTGCCTAAATTTTGTATCATCTCATGGACTTTGAATATTATCCAGAATTCAAATTTGATCAGTTGTAATTGTTGATAAAATAGGCATTCTCAAGAAATGCTCTTCTTCACAATTCGAAAACTATTTCAGTATTGTCCTAAGTAAAACCAAATATCCTAAAATGTAGATGAGCTGTGTTTATCAGTTACTTTTCACTATTCACCAACATCATACCTCTAAGCAGGTCTGGTGCCAAGAAGAAGCCATAGTTTCTACCAGCTTGAGAGTGAACTTCTCAAGTTATTTTCACATCCAAGGGGCTTGAGAACAGGTCAGTTTAGTATTATACAAACAAGATAGGGTTAACGGGAGAAACTTGCTTCCACCGGCTTCAAAAGGTTTTTGGTTGGTTAGTTGATTGGTTTTGGTTTTGTTGCTGTTGTTGTTTCCTATAAATAATCTCTGAGTCCATTGCTAGCAATCTGGCCTGCCTAGTTAGTTGAGCCACAGGGAAGTAATAGTTGGGGTATGAGTACTGAGGTGTCACCATTCATCTGGGCTTATAAACTAGAAACTTTGGCATAATTTTCCACTTTTCTCCATCCCTCAGCTCCCTAAAACCAATTGGTTACCAATCCTTTCAATATTTACATCAGAAATGTTTCTCAATGCTTCCTCCACTTTTCCAACCACTTCAAGTGGTCTGATTAAAGCCTGCTGTCCTTCTGAAGTAATCAAGTTTCTAGTTTCTCTCCTACAATCCATCCTCCATATGCTATCAGAGAGCTATTCCCAAAACATGAGTCACCTATACTTCTTAGTGCCAAGAATTACTGGAAGTAATTTTTACATATCAAATAGTGGATACAACCATCCCATAAAATATATACTCTTATTATCCCCATTTTGTGGAAATAACACTGAGGCTCAGAGAGACTGAATAATTTGCCAAATTGCACATAGCTTATACATGGTGGAGTCTGAGCCCTAAACAAATTTGCCTTACAGCTGCTCAATGTACCAATATCAGACCTCAGCTTGAAAACCTGTTTTCAGTCATTAAACCTCTCAGGATACTGGCTGCCTTCAGAATTGAATTCACTTGGGATTTCAAGAATGGTGTTGTCTTAGTCTTTTCCTGCTGTGATAACAAAATAACTTAGAGTGGGTAACTTACAAATAATAGAGATTTATTTCTCACAGTTTTGGAGGCTGGGAAGCTCAAGATCAAGGCATGAGGCTGGTAAAGGTTGGTTCTTTGCTTTCAAGATGGAAATTTGTTGCCTGTGACCTCACAAGGCAGAATACAGAGGGCTAAAAGGGGTAGTCATCTCTCTGAAGACTCTTAAAGGCATTAATCCCATTCAGGAGAGTGGAGCCCTTATGACTTAATCACACCCCAAAAGTCTACACTTCTTACGACTCTCATGTTGGGGTTGAAGTTCCAACATATGAATTTTGAAGGAACACATACATTGAAACCATCATAGGTATGTTTAGAGAAATCGAACTGGATTCCCAGCTCTGAAAATAACTAGACCTTCTTTGTGCCTCATTTTTCTTTTCTGATACCTATTTGGACAATATCATCTATGTTGTCAGGCTTATCGAATGTGTTGCATGCAATCAAGAACATAGCATTATTTCTGGCATGGTTTCTTGGCTGTAATTTGTTCAATAAATATCAACTAGTTGAATATATTGCCACCTTAATTTCTCCCGCAAATCTTATGATCCAGTCATACTTGATTGCTCAGTTTCTTAAAGTAGTAACATATTTTTCTTCTACTAATACTCTTTAACCTTTAGAAGTTTCTCTTTACCTATAATGAATACTTCAAAGTATTTCTAAATGGATCGCCCTTCTTTCAGCTTCTTATCCTAGAGAAATCATCTTTATCCTTTCAAAGACAGGTCAAAAGACCTCTCTGTGAAGTTCCGCCTGATGTTCTCACTGCCTGGACCTCTAGAACCATTAGCACTTGGTTCTAGACTCCATGGTAGCCTCTGAAGTGTGCTTCTTGTTATTACATATTATTGTAGTTAATTTAGTCTATTTTTAGTTTATTCAGATAAAACACCAAGTCTTATTAATTTCTGTCTCCAGAATATATAGAAGAGTAACTAGTACTAAGTGGGTGCACTGTTAGTATTCACCTAAAGAATGAAAAGAAGATGAAAAATGGTACCATGGGGTTAGAAAAAAAAAACAAAACTACTTAAGATAATAAGATCTAGGGGAAAGTGTATTATAGGAAAAGTGTGATGCTTTGAATATTTTTTTTCATTTTCTTAAGAACACTTCTAAAATATTAAAAACCATTTTTACCTTAATTTTATTAGTGGCCATATTTTTTGTTTAGTAATCTAAGATATTAAATCATCTTCTTAGCCTGAAACTATATGAATAGCTAGAAAGATATTTAATGAAGAGTTAGAGATAAACTGTCACCAGAAATTATTAACCTGTTACCTAAGTGTCACTCACTTGCTACCCCACCAATGACTTACTAGTGTCTCCAACAATCTCTAATAGAGCAAATCGAAGTTTTTTTCTGTTCTCTTCTAACTTGATTTCATTGCTATGGTTGACACAATATCTAATGCAACAATTTATCCTTCCTTGGGTTCTTGAAAATTCTTAATCAGTAATGAAGCTTGATTTCAGGGTTATACAATAATGCAAATGTAAAATGTAAAGTGATAAAGCTAGGTTATTAATAATTAATTATTATAATTGACAGATGAATATTTCCTCTCTCTCTTTATTGTGCTGTCTGCATTTACAGATAGTACTGAACTACCAAGAAGCAATATAGTTAGGTAGTTATAAGGCATTAATTACAGTAGTGAAAAAATATGTCTTATTATGAACAAATTAAGCAAGTTAATAGGTTATGAGAAAACAGAATTCCAGATTCTCATGGCTGTTACTGAATATTCCATAATCTCCGCCTCATCCTCCTTAAATTTACATGAAATATCTAATTAAGAAAAGCAAAGGGCCCTTTCCATGATAGCTCAAATCCTAGCTGAGGCGTCTCCTATGACTTTTCCCAAGTTAAAGTAGGCCTGCTTGTGTGCAAACTTGTCCTTTTCATGATTCCCACTGTTTTGTAGAATGTCTCACACTACTTTTTACTCAGAAAATGGGTAAAAACAGCTGTGGCTGGTGCTCAGTGGGCAGGAATTCAAGGGAGGAGTGAGAGAGGACTGTGGGTACATTTCTGCCTTTAGTTGGCTCATTTTGTAAAATGATCTCAAACTAGACTCTGCAGGGCAGGATGTCTGAGGTTCCCTGAGCCACGTGGCTTTTGCTTACCTGCATTTTCTTTCCAGATGAGTCAGAATACAGTGTAATACCAAGTGGACTCTCACCATTGTGGGTTTTATTGTTTCCTTTTTCTGTTTTTATTTTATTCTTTCCTTCTTCCTTTGGGATCATTAGGGGTGTTTTCATTTATCATTCTTTCTTAATTTTGATAGAACATTAATTCTTCCACGTTTTTTGAAATACTGGTTTTGAGAGAAATGTAATAACTGCATGAGTTCAAGCAACTTAAAATGTCTGTCGCTTATATAGATTATTGTCCTTTAGCCTCAAAACACTCTTCTTACTTCTATTCGGTGAAATCTGTATCAATGACTTAAGATGATGGGCATGATGACAAAAATGAAAATACAAAACTAGTGGTGGTTTTATAACAAATAACAAATAAATAAAAATCTATTTGTGCTAAAAAATGATCACCTATTTTAACACAATCTTAAGGTATTTGCATATACTAATTAAGACTATATCAATTGGACAAAATCAGTGTCAGAGCTATGCAGGTTGTATGGTATGTGAATGTTTTTTAATAAAGTTTCTGTTTACTCTTTTAGCTAAATCCATTAAAATTTCTTCTGATTTTGCTAAAAAGTCTTATATATACCATCTGTTTTCTTTAATAATATTAATCATTTGATCTTTAGCTGTACATTTATTCAAGGGGTTTACATGTAACAGATGTGCTCTTTAGATTTTAATTTTCTTGGTTGTAGGCAATGGACACCAGCCCTCTACTCAGTACAGATTTTCTCCCAAAGGACAAACATTGAGTTCCAGCTCAGCGATTGGTTCTCCCTATAAATTGCTTTAAGTGATTTTCATGACAGCTTTGGGAGGAGAAATTATCCCATTTTATAGACAAGTTAAAGTGAGTTTCAGAGAAATTAAGTACTAATGATCACAAGCAATGTGGAAGTGTGGTTTACAATCTATGTTTATCTATGCTTGCAAACTCTAGCACATTGCCTCCAAATGATACACCTCTTAAACCTCAACCTACTCTATTCTATATTTCCTAGTTCTAGTTCTTAATCATAGATTCTACTGATCATGAAAGGTTCAAATTTGATTAACTTGGTTCATATCAAAGAGTGAATAAAGCAAGGCATTTTGCATTTTAAACAGAACTTTATCAATCAAAATGAATCTCTATCAGACAGGGTGTTAGATTTTAGTAGAATGAGGATAGCTAGAATATGCTTATAATTTGCATCATTTTTAATGGCATTCTTTTTTGCTCTTAAAAGTGTCCCAGTTTTGGACTATACATTGTATGGTTGACTTAGATTTTGGGGGCATGTTTGGTTAAGGCCCTCTTAGCTACTATATGTCTAGTCTTTATCTACAAAGTTACGAAGAAAATTCATAGAGTATTGTGGCTCAGTTGGAGGGACATGTATAATGTTGTCTTCCCCTCTCCTTCCCACAAGAAAGTTTTATTTCCTGGCAAGATTATGTGATTTGACAAAATTCACCGCTAGTATTTCAAAGGGAAAGCATAAATATACTGTATGGAGAGAGTCTGGTTGATTTAAAATGCCTCCAATTTTCTGCATCTTGAGCCAAATGTCAGATTCAATTCCTGCTACACAGCCTACTATCTTGTTTCCCTGAGCTCCTCCCAAACCCGTCATCCTCAGGATTCCTCCCTTTGACCACTGGGTTCCTTCTTCCTCAGATAGCCTTAATGTCCCCTCCCTGAACCCTTCAACACTCCTTCACTTTTAAGCAAATTCTGTACCGCGTCAATCTCAGCTCATTTCTAAGGTCTCTAAGTCCCTTAGGTAGCCTTCTCCACATTTCCTAATGTGTTTTCCTTTTCTCTGTTGGAACGTTTATGAAACTGTGTTGTAGTAATTTGTTTCTATGTCTGTCTTTTCCACTCTGTTGAACATTTTGAAGGTACTTTTTAAGGCAGTTTTTAAAAAGTAGAAGAAATGGTGGGTGAGTAAAGAATAAACTTAGCGATCCCAGCAATATACCCATTTACAGATGAATATGTATGTTAGGTGTCAGGGTCTGTAAAAATTTTATTCATTCACCATATTGTGCCATTTTGCTAGCTAAGGGAATGGTGAAAATCAATAATTTACATTGTTTATTGACTAAGAAATTATTAACTTGCTGCCATATGGTTTATATATTATAAAGCAATTTATTCTAATACTTAATAACATGCAACTCATTATAAAATTACATAACAAATCACTCTTCCTAGTTAGCCTAGAAAGAAAAAGGTGAATGGTCAGAAGAGTTCAGATAGATCCCTGATGCCAACACAGTTGACTGATTCTGATGGAACACCCACAAGTTTAATAAAAGGAATAATATCTCTACATGTTCTCATAATGATATGCGCATGTTTACAAATCATCCCAGCCCTCTCTGGATCTCCTCAGTTAAATACACTTGACAAAAAACTTATAAAACCTTTCAATTATTCTGATATCTTTTTCTATCTTTTCCCACACGTTGGAAGCAGCTTCAGACTTACACTGGTCTCACAATACATTTAATTATTTTTTCCAAGCCATGGGTCATGGGTTGAGATTGTAAGGCCTGTATGATATCAGAAGACACTTTAACAGTCACATCCTGATACAGGATTTCACCACTTCAGCAAGGACTTCATATCTCTACTCTCTCTCTGTCAAAGTGATACAATTTCGCTGTTGAAAAATTAGAAAATACAGAGAGAAAATAGAAAAAAAAATCTTAATCCTAAGAGATCTCCACTGTTACAATGATGGCGTGTAGTGCAGCTCTAATTTTCCTACACAAATACACTCGTGTGTGCATTCATGCATGTTTTTAACAAGACCAGAACAGCACTATATATATAAAACTGTAGTTTGTTTTCCTCACTGAGAAATTCCTGTTGAACATGCATATGCTTTTTAATGATTTCATAGTATTTTTACACAGACAGCCAGTAATTGTGTTAATATCTACAGAATATTATCAATATTTATCACTTAATAATTGAACGCTTAACTATTTCTAACTTTTTACTATTGTGCAAATGTACCAAGAGTCTATTCATCCGTCTTGATCACCTGTACTTGTTTTTCTTACAAAATACTTGTAGAAGTATAATTACTGCATAATAGTATGACTATCTTAAAAACTTTTGATACCTCTTGTCAAACTACAACTCCAAAAAGGAATATGTTTAACTGCACGTTTTATGTGTCTAATACAACTTGGCATTCTTTTTAATTTTTGTTAAATCAAGTAGAAAGAGTACCTTATTGTCTGATCACTAAATTTAATCCAAAGTCTTTATTGAAAAACACACATAGAAAATATTTGAGGCAATTTATTTGCCTATTTTAAAAGTGCTCAGCATTTTCAAACCTAGGGAGCAATGAGAATCTCTTTAATAGTTGAATATCCTCGCTGGGTGCCCCACTTCACGCCAGGTTCACTCTGCCAAATACTGCTTTTCACATTCACATTTTCATTTAAGTAATTTGCTGGCATTTTTCCAAGCCTCATATTCAGAAACTGATACCAAGTCTTTACTATTTAAATAATTTACTATTTAAAAGTTCAAACATTCCTTGACACTTTTTCTCCTTTCTATAAATTGGTCTCTAAGTTATTTTCAGTATTTCTTATATATTTTAATATTTCTTATTTCTTATCTAAATAAACTTTGATGAAAATTGTAACTAATGAAGAGTTTTTCTTCAGTAGTTTTTATCTCAATATATATGTATATGTATATTCTGATTTAAATATACTAAATATACGATATATACATATATAGTTTTGCTGAGATGAAAGCGATGGACAGGGAAGTTAGCAAAGTCATAATAAATAAACATTCTCCTAGGATATCATGTAACAGAAGTGAAATGCATTTATGAAATGCCAATTATAGTGGCATCAAATGCTCACAATTACATATGATATGTGAGGAAAGATATAAGCAACAAAATTATAACACAGTATTAGATAAACTGCTAAATTTATCCCAATATAATATTGTTGAAACGAATGCAGGGAAGGATCATTCTCTTCCTAGGCTGCCTTCCTTAACCAAGACATGCAGAGCTCTGGTAATCTGATCTTTCTAGCTGTGACTCAATTGTCAGGTCTTCCCTCCAGGTGTTCTTTATAATGAATGTCACTTAACCAAGACTCAGTAGGATTTATGGATTTTCAGATTGCTGTTTTCAGAATTTGCTCCCCAATGAAGGACTACACAAAAATGCCATTAATGATACACAAACTCAACTGTCCTATTAGCTGGCATCTATTCATGCTAAAATCACATAAGTTGTTTCTTTGCGGGTCATGTTTCCAGAGTAAGAAGAAGGCGTCCTAGTGAAATTTCATACAGGCCAACATTCATTATTTTAAATATATTCACAGCAATGTGTGCATAGTGTGAGTTACACAATATTTTGTCTTAATTACTGGTACCCTCAATAACTTCAATAATGAATTTTCCTCTAAAGAATACTTCATCTCAAAGAGTTACTACTTTTTGTTATTAATCTAAACTTTTTGAAAATAGGAAGAATGCTGCTTACAGCCTTTACATCTTTACCAAGTAAGATTTTATAATATAATTCTTGATTTTTCTTCAGTATTAGAAAATAAAACAAAATGTTGGTGGAGCTAATGCTATGTACTGAAGAAAAATCAAGAATTGTATTATAGAATCTTACTTGGTAAAGATGTAAAGGCTGTAAGCAGCATTCTTCCTATTTTCAAAAAGTTTAGATTAATAACAAAAAGTAGTAACTCTTTGAGATGAAGTATTTTCTTCAGTATTAGAAAATAAAACTAAATGTTGGTGGAGCTAATGCTGTGCTACAGAGATGAAAATTAATTTCAAGTGTTAAAGAAAAGACAAAATTATTTTCATAGGTACTTCTTAAGCGGCAATTAAAAAAAATAATTGATAACATTTAAATTTTCTTTTCCAAAAGAGAATTAGAGATTTTAGTTAGACTATCTACATTTAAAATTCTATAAATTTAAAATACAAAATATAAAGAATGAAGATGAAGCCTGCTCTTTTAACAGCTTTAGTCGCATGATGAAATTCCTGGAAAAGACAAACAAAAGAAATCTCAGGCACTGAATTTTCATTCCAGCAGAAGATATGTGTGCTGACTTCTATTAAAGATTCCAAGAAACATGGGCTAAAAAGACCAGAGACTTTTTCTAAATGTAATGACTTTATTATACTATAAAGTATAACAAAGACTATGTTATAATATAACGAGGCAAGGCTTTTTTGCTACTAACCCCATAGTCCTAGAATGGAATTATCAGCCCCTCCGCATTACCACACTAAGTTTAACTATAACTCAAGTGAGAAATCAGATCCTGGAATTTTGTTATTTTTGCTGATTTTAGTTTATTTACATTCATGAACACTACTATATTGGTAATTATTTCAAGGATTGGGCTAAATTATCCTGTAGCATTATTAAATTCTATAATTGGATATAAATAATAGAGTGTGATTTGAACACTTTAATATTAAGTATTTATGGAGTACTTGTAATGTGCCTGTACTCTTCTAAAAACGTTTTTTTTTTCAATTTTTAGCACATCTGAAGACATATATATTTTATTGTTTTCATTTTACAGATTTTACAGATTGAAAAGATGAAGTTCAATAACTTCCTCAACACAACACAAGTAGTACATAGCAGCTACCATCTGAGTGCAGACTGTCTTCTTTCAGAGCCCTGTGCTCAGCACTCTACCACCTTGCCCATCTCCTGTTCAGGTAGATACAATGACATACTCAGCACATACATATGTGCAGTCAGGTCTTCCCTTGATAAAAGGTGTAAAATGTTTCTGGATTTTAGGCATTTAAATGTTTTAATTTTGGAGGCTGATAATCTTCTTTCCTTAAATGCAGTTAAACAAACATCTGCCTCCAGCTGTACAGGAAGATGTGGCTGTGCCTTTGACACCCCAATCCTACTCTCATTTAGAAGCAACAGGCATTATAATCCTTGTGTTTCCCATGTACTGTCAGGTTTAAGAACCATTGCTATATGTTGATTTGATTACCTATGGCTTCTGGAGGATTTTAGAAATAATTTAAATTCACCTCTGTTTCCCACACCGCCTTGCATAGAGTAGCTGCTCAATAAATAGTTTCTTTAATTAATTGAATTACTTGAAACATTAGACACATTCTCTTAACCAAGCTTGCATTTGATCTATTAGTTTCTTCTTTGATAAAGTGAAAGTAGTCCCTTACCTGTTTGAAAGGGATGATAAGGAGGGACCATAGTCTAGTGTTTCAAATTGTGAACACTGGAGTTGTGTTACCTAGGCCTACACCTTGAACATACACATTGTGTCATCTTTTACCTTTCCGCCCTGTCCTCACTTGCTTCATCAGTGGAATGGGAACTTTGAGTATACTAGAACCTATCTTATACAGCTTTGTGAGGACTAACTGTGTTTACATTTGTAAAAGCACTTAAAACAGTTCCTGGTACCCAGTAAATGCAATAGAAGTGCTAAATAAAATAAGAAAAGAAAAGAAAAATGTGACAAGGAATTGGGTTTAAAATACATATTAAGTTGATATCCTTATTGAATTTTGTGCTCAAAATAAAATTTTCAGTCACATCTGTGGCTGAGTAAAACAATGTGAAACAAATTTTGATATCAGTAGGTTAAAGAAGAAAGCAGCAGTTTTTGAAAATTTAAAATGTAAAAATTTAGGGGATTTATTGTGGAGATTGTGGCCTCAGTCAAATTCTGGACTTTTTAAAAAAAAAATATGAACACTGAAACTCACTTTACGTATGGCTGTATTGAAAATATCAGCAGTTTGGAGAACTTGGGCTCATGATTTCCCTGTGTGTAGCTGTCTTTCAGCTATATTAAAACAATTTCAGTAATGGTGTTCCAGAAACCACTACGTCTTAAAGTAAAAGTTACTCAGTTCACACAGTGAGGCGTAAACTCAGTAAGGAGTAAATTTTCTACTCCCCAGGATTTAGTGAGACCCAAGATAAATTTTATTGAAAGTAAAGCTGTAAAAGTAATTATAAACCTATCTTTTGAAGAAAATAGGTAGATGTAAATGTCCAAATATAAACACTGCAGCTAAGGTGACAATATAATTTATTATTCAAAGCAAGATTCTTTTCAAAGTGAAAGAGGGAAGTTTTTATAAATTGTACCAAGATGATAGAAAAAATCCAGGACTGATTCAGGCAAACTGGATGTATAGACACCCTGAATACAAACTATACCTGACATTTTTCAAAATATATGCCATTCTACAGTGTGTAGAGTTTTCATGAACATTTTTTAGGTTTTCCAAACCAGTGAGTTAAAAATGTAGCCACTCATTCTTGTGTTGCCTAAAATGTTTATTGTGTAGACAAAGACGGTATCTTGCAATCTGGGGAAATGAGTTAGAATTGCACTAAAGAATACATTGCACCTTCTGACCTGTTTCAGATAAAACTGCCAGTGAATTCCTCTGTAAATTCCATTGTTTAAGGTTCTTAGTAAAGAGAATTAACCTTTACCATTTTGTGAACCATAGTAAGTCACGAGCATAGCAATGGACTAAAGGTAAAAAAGATTGAGTTCATTGTTGATGGCAGCAGTCCCTTACATGACTGACTTTGAAAAGGATCTTTATCTTGGAATCTGTTAAAGTGTGAGTGTGGATAGGGTATGTGTAGAGCCATTTTTTTTCTTTCTGGACTCTCCATCAGGCCTTAGTCATATGTGTTAGTCTATTTGTAATCCTGTGATAAAATTAGCCTTGTATTGCGTGTAATGTTTGTTATCTAAAAGATGTTTATTAAGTAGGAGGGACACCCCTGAAAAAGCTGGAACTGCTAGCATTAAAACAGCCAGTTATTAACATTCTAATAAAAACAATACAGAATAATGAATTCAAATTTCTAATATAAAGTAAATTCATTAGTTCTCATGAGTTTAAGTAGAAAATGATTTCTTCAAATTTCAAGAGAAAAGTACAGATATCACAAAATCAAAATTAAGGAATAAGAAATTATTTCTCAGAGGAAAGTTAAAGGAAAGTGATATAGCTGGTGTACTCATAATTATAATTCTGCAGATACAACAAAAACATAAAGAAAATTATCTTTGTGAAAATTGTGTTTGCAAACAAGTTTAGCTTTTGCAGACTTATAATCCAAGAAAAGAAAGGAAAAAAACTCAAAACATGAATTAACCACTATAAATCTCCTCCCTTCTCTTTGCTTGCAAATTCAACAAACTTTTTCTTTTAAATTACCCTTGAATGTTGAGGTCATTGTATGTGATGAAATATCACCAGAAACATGATGGCAAAGTCAATGGAGGTATGAGGAATTATACCTTCCACACCTAATTGACTGTTTTCCTGTTGACTTATGGTGTCCTTTTCGCTTTGTATTTGATCAATAAAAGTTTATGGAATAAAGAAATGCCCAAAAAACACGTTTTAGAATTTATGTGATGTGTAGTGATGGAAATTGCACTATTG